ACTGATAGAAAAGAAGCAGGCTCGTCTACAAATGCATGCCAACTAATTTCACAAAGGCCTCTAAAGAAATCCTTGCTCTTGACCCTGTTATTTTGCCCTCACCTTCTCCGTATGCTTGCAAAACTCAGGCATTCTAATTTCCTACTGGTGAGCACTTCGTCATGAAGCCCGATAGCTAAACTCTAAAGAGACACATATCGTGTCCTACAATGTTAACATTTCTTTCGAAGAGGTTCAAGTCCATCTCTGAACCGGACTTTTATCTTTAAAAGTTCTTCTCCCATCCCCCATATTTGCAAACACCTTTGTCTGCCAACAGTGCTGTATTTGCATCCTTATACTGCTCCCATGCCCTTCGCCTGGTTTGTTCTGTTCTCCAACCTCGCGGCAACAATCTGGTCTCTCATGTATCAGTCTTTTACATAATGGATGATCAACTTATGAGGCTATAACTAATCCTCCACATAAATCACCTCAGAATTGTATTCTGGAGTCCCTGTGTTACACGTCTAGTTTGTGTCTTCCACAGAAACTTTCAGGAGCTTCTCATAGTTCGCATTATACATACACACACACATGCACGCACACACGTATGCACGCATGTACACACACACTCACTCACTACTCACAAACATGTATATATGTCTTTAAAGATGCAATAATATATTCCAATATGCATATGATTTATCAATTATAAGAAAAAATGATAGGCTAAAACTTCTCATAAAATAGAAAACCTCAAAAAATCATTTTATGATTTATGATTTTCACCCACATTTGATGGATTTACAAATGGGGATCAGATGCTTGTGGGACCCACAATCAGTGTGAGTACTTCTCTGGTTATGAATAAGTAGCTTTTACAGATTTGCCAAAAAGTCCATGATAGTCACAGTTAAAACTGTTCCTACAGAAACAAAACATGAGGACAGAATCTGCTTCATTATTTTTGTCCTTATCATCTAATACAGCCTCTCAAGCAATGATCTAAGAAGCCAACTAAATAATGTTGCATCCATTGACTTATATAACACCAGATAACGTGACACAGAACTATTATAAACTAACTATTTAAAACGTGACCAGGAAACAAGAGACTGACAAACTGGCTCACTTTTATAAATAGCTGCGTCTCAGCAATACGGATCCTATTTAGCATGAGTTTAAATGTGACTTCATACTACAATATGAACAGAGGTCAGTAAACCCATTTCTGTCACTAACACAGTCAGTAAGTAGGATGGCTCAGCAAATATATAAGAATGGATCAGCTTGCAATTTAAACTAATTTTACGTTATTACAATCATTAGATATTAGATTTATGACAGAAATGTGGCTTGGCATTGCTCTCGGTTAGCTCTTACCCCAGTTATCAAAAGGAAGGAGAGTTTACTCAGCACATTTTCATTACCCCATTTATATGCAGACATTTCATGAATCATGAAGGGGATAATCTGATGACTGAATCTCCTATCGTTTATTTGTTCCAACACCCTAAACTGATCATCAGTGTAACACTGCATGTTCAAGGTGAAAAGCCACGAGCAACCTGACCCCCAACTGCTCCAGGTGCTGGAATAAGAGGTGCTCAGGGCAGTCCTTCTACAGGAGCCAAGAACACAGACAGCAGAACATCACCAGCAAACAAATTTCTCTTCCTATGGCACCCAATGGAAATTCTTTCCACATTTATCTCCCAGTGGTATCTAAAAATAATATTCAGTGAGATCAACCTTGCATATTTCTTCTTGCTGGGAAGCTCTGGGATTAGGATCAGATTAAAGTCCATACTATTGAACAATTCAGAGCTAACCTTGACCCCCACATCATCTGACACGCAGCTAAAGTCTTCAACATACCTCTTTGTTCTATTGTGTAGGTAGCATAATATAGATGTGCACAAAGACTTCTGTGAACAGAAAAGGGATACTGAACTGATACTTGCACTCCACACTAAGACCTATTTGTTCTCAGAGAATAAAGCCTTGTCAGGGATTTTAAATGTGCTACTGTGTGGTATGCATGCATTGATGAGAAAACAATGGTCAGTATGAGGAATCTTCATCACCTGCTCTGCAGAAGCAAAATCAGAGGAAGCAAAGCTTGAGGAGCAGCTCCGTTTCAGACCAGTTATAGATGCAGAGCCTCATCGACCACGTTGAAAGGAAGGGCTTCTGCAGACCGCCTTTCCACCTACCTTTAAACTTCAAAACATTCTCCTACTACTGTGGCATGCCATACTGTTGGCAACATCGGCAAACAAACTTGACTAAATTTCAAGCTAAGCTGCCAATTTAGCAGTTGAAGCATAATTTCCAGAAAACCAAGGAAACTTAATAAGCAATAACTAACTATCTAAAAGAATAGTGTTCTAGTTCTTTAATCATGTGATATTTGATAATATGTGATGATGAGGTATTTATTTTATGGATTATTATTTGTTAGAAAAATATACAGTTGTTTCCACATTGAATTTTAAACTTTAAATACTATTTAGACAATTAATTTGATATTTACTATTAAACATATCATTAGTCTAGAATAATATTTTGCTGAAATTGTTGCTGAGAATAATAATTCTGTAGAACATAAGTAGCAACTATAGCAAAACCAGTTTCTTACATCATTGCAAGCACTTTGTGAATATCAGGTGCCTTAAGCAGAATTAAGCAGAGTTTCTTTAAGGCAGGATGTATGAGACTCTTACTATACCAATATATACTGATATTTGAAGAGCAAGACAGAAAAGCAAAAGAGTGTTGGGTGGGTAGAATATTTTTCAAGTGTTCATAACAGAATTTTAGAAACACTGAACTGAAATGCTGAATGCGTTATGAAATCCAAATTTAATTCTCAATGAATTCTGAACAGTGTGCAGATCCATTAACAGGTGACAGCTTCTAGGGAAGGAAGAGTCGGTTTTCTTTATGGGTGTGTCCCCTGTAGGTTTTCACCAGACTATCTAGAGTGAATGGTCCCACCCATAGGTATATTGGCAGCACGAATTGATCTTGGTTATTAAAATAAAAGGCAGGACTCAAAGTCAGGAGGTAGTAGGGAGCTGGGTTGTGACCAAGATAATATGTATGAAATTCTCAAAGAATTATAAACTATTAATATATGTTTAATATATTTTAAATCTATTTCAAACTACTAGCAGATGATGTTACAACTCTTTATATAGCTGCCCAAATTTATGGGTGAATGAATTAAAAACTCACTTAAAACAATACTAGTCTTTGCTACTAGGGCCACAGTTCTTTTGACGCAAATAGCAATGTTAAGTAAACACACTTAAAAGTACTCCTAGGATCCCTAGATGTGAAGTTGTAAAACATTACACCATTAATTATTATTACAGTGATATTTTAAGCATACTTCTTCCCCTGGATTCTCCTAAGCATGCTTCAAGATATGTGGGTCAGGAATGAGTTACCCCCTTTTCCAAATGAGAAAACACAAACAAAACTATAAAGGGCAAGAACAATACTAGACAGGGCAGAGAACAATCTGGCTTCTAACTCAATCCTGTGCCGTCTCAGCACAGTCTCTCCTTTCCCTTCCAAGATTGTGCTTAGCACAAGAAGGAGTTATTTAGACAGGGGGCTTCTCCAGTAAATAATCCAGTTCCATTCCAGCATCGCCAAGTCGAAGGCTGCTTTCAGATTTGCCCTCGTCCCTGTTGATTGCAAAGACACTAAAACTGTAAAAAAAAAAAAAAAAAAAAAAAAACCTTCCATATCTCTCATGGAAACCTCTGACTAGGACTAAGTTCGAAGTGAGAAGCAGGCATAGTCTGTCCAGAAGACAAGCTTTCTTTCACATCAGTCACAAACCAGGAGAAGAAAGAACCCCATTCTCCAGCTGGGTTGGAAGATTTCAAGGACATATGTATGGACTCAAGAACACCTTTAAGCGACCAGCAGTATTGAAGGTCAGCTTAAGGCCATAGATAGGAACATGCGCAAAGTCCTCAGAAATTTAGAATACATTAGGACATCCACATTACAAGGTCCTATATAGATGCAAATGAAAACTTAAGTTCAAGACGTGTTCTCTACCATACTAGTAGATATTATAAATAATGTACTTACTTTGGCCTTTCCATCTATTCACATTCAGTGATGGTTTAGATGAAGGCAAGATCTGCAGACCGGCTTCCACCAAAGTGTCCTGCATTACCTCTCTGTCAAGGACTGATAATTTTAAAAAATAACAAATTTAAGAATAGATGAGTTCATTTCCTCTCCCCACGGAGTCAGTTGTGAACATGCATACCAATGCTCCAAAACCGTATTCAGTGGTTATCTGTCAAAAGTTAGTCAGAAATGACAGCAGCTATAACTTCCTCACCAACTGAAAGGAAAACAGACACACGGGTAGGAATTGCTTCTCCGGGTTACCACAAGTATTTTTCATGGGGTTTGCGTGAACTTGTACTCCACCTGGAAGAGCACAGGATTCTTACTCAATACTGGCAAGTTTTTCTTAAGCTTATTCTATGGTGTATACACCAACATGTCCTATCCGTTAACGGCTCAGAGTTCTTGAATAGGCAGGTTTGGACAGGGCCCTGAAATCCAGAGCCTTTCTAAGACTAAGTGTGGACTTATTACGGCAGAAGGAATGTAGTTGGTAGAAACTGTTGGTACTGTTTTCTTACATGGAAGAGAGGCAGTGAGGAACAAAGCCACAAGTTCAAAGTCCTATATTTCTGCATTTGGATCCAAGATCTTCCCCCACACTATTGGGTGACTTTAAAACCTTTATTTCTGGAGAACAATGGTCTTAATATTTGTCACCTCTTTCATGGGACTACTGAAGAAAATTGAACTGTAACAAAACAATAATACTAGTTAGCTACAAGCAAGCTCCTAATAAACATGTAAGTTTTCGATACTGTTTAAATATTTATCAAAGCTATTTTTTTAAAAAATACTGTATTACAAAACACAGATTTTGAGCAGTGAAAGAGGCACGGCGTGGTCTTCAGTTAGCAATGTCCACCAACAATATGTCCGACCCACGGAGACCCAACAAAGTGCTGAGGTATAAGCCTCCGCCGAGCGAGTGCAACCCAGCTTTGGACGACCCAACGCCGGACTACATGAATCTCCTCGGCATGATCTTTAGCATGTGCGGCCTCATGCTTAAGCTGAAATGGTGTGCATGGGTTGCCGTCTACTGTTCCTTTATCAGCTTTGCCAACTCCCGGAGCTCGGAGGACACCAAGCAGATGATGAGTAGCTTCATGCTCTCAATCTCTGCTGTGGTGATGTCCTATCTGCAGAATCCTCAGCCCATGACGCCCCCGTGGTGATGTCACCTGCAGGGCTTGGATCCTGGACTCCTGCCCACCTTCTGGCCTAGCCTTTGGCTGTTTCCAACCTACCCTTAGCTGCTGTTTTCAACATGCCTGAGTGTTGTCTCTGGTCTCCCAGCGTAATGGAGGGAAGTTGGCCCTTTCTTTGGGTCCTGCTTTTGCTTTGACAAAGGGGTAACCCACAGACTTCCCTTTTACCATCCCTTCTCTGGCCACTGTTATGGGAAACCCTGTTCATGTTTCTAAAAGTTTCTAAATTCACTTGTTTTCTTGTTGAAACCGGTTGATATAAAATTTTCCACTCTGAAAATAAAAATAAAAAACAAAACACAGGTTTTGATGACTAATTCATCTGAAAGCACACATAAATTGAACTTCCTTGTAACTTTCAAAAAAGTGTTTTACAGACACCAACATTAGCATGTGGCCTCTCAGTAGTTTAAAAAGTAGAAAGTGCTAGAATTAAAGGCTATCTTTTCCTATTTCAGGTTCAAAGGACACACAAATTACAGTGTGTAATTTATAGCATATTTAGAAGTAAGGTATTCCTATACCTTAGATCTGCTCTGTGTGTGTGTGTGTGTGTGTGTGTGTGTGTGTGTGTTTAGAACTAATACAAAGAATAAGGAAGATGCAGTTTTCAGGAAGGTGAGGTAAGTAATTTTGCAAACACTACCAGTTCTTTATCTGAATACACCTAAAACACCAAAGAGGAAAACCGGCTGGCAATTTCACTTTCCACCCCATTCCGATAATAGAAAATAACATCGTCTCATGTTGTTCTTTCATAATTTTTAAACACCTTCCAGTTTCTTGGTGATAGTAAGAAAACACACTGCAGTTTCACTCTCTTATTTATTAGAGACCTTAGGTGTAAATACAATTTCATTCTATCACTATTATGAAAGACAGGTTTAGAAAGAAACCCTGCATATCACCCCAAAGTTGTCTGTGTCCGGCCACCACTCTGAAATATTTCCGTTAGCTGCGGACAAACATAAAACCATGGCAATATTATCCTGCTTGTCGTGGAGCAGGTGATCCATGCACGTTTGTGGAAATAAGTTCTACAACGTTCACACAATGAATTGGCCCAATGATGCCCTCTCGGAATCTGTCCCCACTCTTAAGTGACAAATTATTGCATTTCACTGTGATACAAAAAACTATAACATTTCCATAGGGAGGAGGTCAAAACTTAAGGATACTGAGGAGGAGGACACATTTTTCCTATGTTGGTTTGATTCTGACACTTGGGTGTTATCATGTATAGTGATAATTTTATTTATTTTTTTAAATATTTATTTATTATGTATATAATATCCTGTCTGCGTGTATGCCTGCAGGCCAGAAGAAGGCACCAGACCCCATTACAGATGGTTGTGAGCCACCATGTGGTTGCTGGGAATTGAACTCAGGACCTTTGGAAGAGCAGGCAATGCTCTTAACCTCTGAGTCATCTCTCCAGCCCCAGGTATAGTGATAATTTTAAAATTAACACGCCAGGCTGTGGTGCTGTGTGCCTTTAATCCCAGCCAGCACTTGGGAGGCAGAGGTGGGTGAATTTCTGTGAATCTATGGCCAGTCTGGTCTACAGAGCTAGTTCCAGGACAGTTAGGGCTGTTACACAGAGAAAACTTGTCCTGATAATAAAAAAATTAATTAATTAATTAATTAAAATAAAAAATAAATAACTAAAATTTACCTATGGACAGATGACACTGTACAAATTGAAAATCCACTAGTGTAAGTAAAATATATTCTCTAAAATTCATAGGCACTTGTAAGAAATAAAAATGTTTAATGCAACTGATGCTAAAATTATATTTTTATTTGTGTTATAAACCAATGGTGTGAACACTTGGTTCCATCTCTGAAATTGTAGTTTTCCAAGACATGTAATATCCAACAATGAATCAGTGCCCCTCCAAAAGCAAGCTTGCTATTTCGAGGCATCCCTGCCTTCTATTCTGAAATTCTTGATTAGGTAAGTAAAGAATCAGGGGAAGGAGGGGGCAATGGCCATTTACATTTCTAAGACATCAACTACATACAGGCTCCCCACCAGAGAACACACTGACCTTTGGCACAGAGGGTACCACCTAGCCAAGTGTTTGTATGAGGAAGAAGGGAAGAAATCTACAAATTGACTTACTGAAATGAGGTATATAACATCAAACAGTTTGACACTTGCTTCTTTTTTTTTTTTTAGGCACAGGGCTATATGGCATGAGAATATCCTATCCTTTTCTTGATATACAGTTGATAAAGAATAACTATATTTAATTACAAAAGGAGCGCATTTTAAGATAAAAGATATACTAAAAATGTTTTTGTGCATGTGTAGAGAACATTACAAACAAGAGAAGCTATTTTTACCATTTAGAAACCCCTTAGAATGTTTCAATTTCACAACTTTCTAAAGTGCCATATGGGAATTTTCACTCTCCTTCATGAGTTAGATCTGTGAACAACATGTCAAAGGCAGTACCCCAAGAACACCATCGCACTCCACCCACACGTCCCAAGTTGCCTCACATGCATGCTTTGATGCTTTTCCAAAGTAATCAAATACTCCCCGAATAATGGTGAACACCACATACAAATCACAATAGATATAGCACTCTGTAATTAAAAGAAGATTGTTTTTCTGTATACATCTGTGGGTTTTTTAGAAATACATGTCCACCTCTTAAAATGCATTGTAACTGTGCGATAAGAAGCAATTATCATTCTTCCCTTTCAAATGTGTTGCTTCACACAGCTGCACACACTGCTGCTAACCTGATTGCTAGTGGCACCTGCTCCAAGTTAGTCATATTTCATAGATCACATGGCAGGAACGTCATTTTCAAGTGGCAATCTGATGAACGCCAATCTAGGCTTCTTTCAGTAGTTTATGACAGCCACACTTCATGCCCCACAGGACTCTGATGTAGAACACGTGTGCTATCTGGCGCTCCCTTACTTGTAAACTAAGTTGTGTTTTCACTCTAAAGTTATGTTCTTCCATGATATAACTGGGTTATTTTTGTCAATAAGACATATCAGAATACTTTTTTCTTCAACATTTATATGAAGTAGTCTTTGACTCAAGGAAAAGCTGGGTGGGGGGAAAGGTAGATTCTTTCCCAAGCTGACTGAAAGTTGTAAACAAGAAGTTAAATTGTTCTTGGTCTGCATTATTAAACCCATTGCTGGAAATACAGTGATGACTTCTGTTACTATCTGAAATGTTCCGTTTCTGAGCAGTGATGGCAACAATGATAACAAGGAAGTCTCATTCTAGTGATTATGAGCTTAAATTCTAGCTTCCGCCCATGGAGAAATCTCTTTCCAGAAATCACACTCCTTCTTGCCAAGAATCACCCTAATATCTGAAGGCAGTTAACCACACAGCTCAGAGATTTTAACTTTTGATACAAGCAGACACTTTCTCATAGAATAAAAATTTTATACTGAATTATAAGAGTACCGAATTGTAGTTTATCTTAAGGTCTGATATCTTGTTTCCAGATAGTCCAATAATATATGTTTATTTATGCTTACATGCTATCAAACTTTAAGATAAAAAATTACATAATTCCTAGCAAGGATATAGACTCCTGGCCAGAAAATGCCAGCTTTCCACCCTGTTCTTTATATGTAAAATGTTCAAAATACCACATCTGCTTTGAAAATAACCCAGCAAGGGAAGAGTCTATTTCTACAGGATTTAAAAATACCACATCCTTTCCTAAGATACCTGTAAACTGATGTAAACTTTCAACTAAAACACAGTATTTTCCTTATCAGGCTAAAGATTAATGCTTGTAAAGACTTAATAAAGTTACTTAATGCAGAAAGATGATTTTAAACTCAGCTATCCTGGGCTTCCAGCAGTTTTAACAAATCTAAAGCACAATTAGGAAAGTAAAAAGTGTCCAAGTGTCCTAATACAAGACGAACACTTCCAAAGTCCACAGAACTTAGAGAACCTTCGTGTCAGTCACTAATACACGAGTCAAAACTTATGCTGGGAATCTGGTTTTCATGTAAAACAAATTTCCCCGAAAGTATCTCAAAGATGCATAAGAATTTTATATCTATAAACATAGAGGAAAACATCAACTTCCTCTCATAGGTGTTCTACAACTATTTGCCAAGACGTATTTTATGTAAAAGATCATAAATATCTCTAAGACACAACCAGAATCTCTTAAGTCCTAAAGGGTTTGATGATTTCACCCTATCTAAACAATTAATTTTCTTTGTCCTTTGCTTTTTGTTCTGCCTCCGCATTAACATGGCTGCTAATGATACTGGCCTGGTGACATAAAAGGTGGAAATGAAAAGACATCACGATTCTCACAGAGCACAAAAACTTCTCAGAATTCAAACATGCCCTGGCTTAGGCTGAGTGTTCCTGTCTTGCAGACAACTCTATTTAGTTGGAGAGTTAAGCCATGATTAAGGTTTCTTTTCCATTAAGTATCATAGCTCTTCTACAATACATGATTGCATGGATGCATATGCGCGTGCGTGTGCGCGCACACACACACACACACACACACGCACACACATGCACAAACACAAAGAAAACTCCAGCTGTATCGTATGTGTAAACTTACCTTTCTCGCTGGCATATTTATATTTTCCAATTATTTTAAGAATATATAATAGTCACACAAAATGTCATTTGATCTAATACATACAACTGCCCTACTGCATTAATAAAACCCCTCTTAACATTACACAATTAAGAATTAATTTACATTTTTTAAACTGGAAAGAACATAGGCATGTGTTACCCACTCACTTATTCTCAGTTTTATGCTTTTACACTGTGAATATGCAAATATAAAATAATCTAATTCATATACAAAAATAAAAATGTTTGGAAAATGTAAAACAACTTGGAACATTTGAGCTATCTAGGTAGTTTTACAAAGTAAACTCTGGTTAACCCTATCATTAACGGCAAAAGTACTGTGCTGAAAAACTTATATGAATCTATGGAAGAGAAACAGAAGCTGGTTTAGAGAGCACCGAGAAAACATAAACTGCATCTATTGTTCTATATTCTTTTTCCTTACAGCCAAGTCCTGAGTACACAATTCAAGATTCAAGAATACATCGTCAGGGAACTTTCCTTGAAACGGGGAAAAAATCCAGAGCTGAAATGTCTCAAAAACTCTACTTTAGCTAAACAAATAATAAATAAATAAATAAAAACCTTGCTGCTGGTCTTTGCAACTGAAAAACAGTGAAGAAAACTTGAGAAATTCTTCTGTCGGTTTCCATAGAAAATTGCTATTCATTTAAGCACTTTGTGAGGACTAGGCTTTCAGTAATCACCCTCTGTCCTACAATTCTCTAGTCTTTAAAAAAAATAGTGGAGGGTAACTAGATTATTTCATACTTTCTATGGACAGCTACTTGGTGCCAATGAAGCAAGTACCTCCTACCTCAAATTAGCCATTTGCCAGTGTCGTAATTTTTCACCTCTACATTCCCCTCCGCCCCTCCTTCCATTGCCCTTAGGGATTGGAATTCAGAGGCATTATTGGCTTCTTGCCTTTTAGCAAGTACAGGACATTCCTCAAAAAGTACATACAATTCTCCATCCTGGGAGATCAGACAATAGTATCTATGTCAGTGGCAATACCATACACAATGGAAGACAAGCTATTTTTTTTTCTTGGGATTGTTGTAGCAATTATGATTTAGAGGTTACTGGTCGACTCTGTAGCTATGGTATTGCAGACTTTATCTAAGTATTTCTCTCCAAACTACATACTTTGAGAACTCGGTGTGGCTTCCTAGCTCAGAATGCTGTAAGAATACCATCCGACCTAAACAGGGAGTTTTTTAAGAGCATTATAATAAAATATTCCCAGAAAATATCAAATGACAATGAATAAAGACACTGCCAAACAAGTATATAAAAGAAAAGTCTGAGGATCTGTATGTTCATTTAACACATATATAGTAATGTATATACAAGGCATCACCCTCTTACACTAACAGGAATGCCAAGCATAAAGGAAAAGCTACATCTCAATTCCCTTAAAGAAATTAAAGATAACAAGTTTACGCCGCACCTGCAAAACTGTCTTTAGAAGGGCAGAAATGGGGGAGGGCACAAAGGATCACTTCTCACACCCCTAAAATCATTTTAAACACAGGTGATATATGTCACCTTTTCTCTTTTCTTTTCCCTTCCGTCCTGCTCAATGGCAGAGACCTCTTACTACACTCCCTGGCCACTCTCTCAAAGGCACATTACAGAATAAGAGGTCCCAAGCGTCACTTACCAGTTGCATGCCACAGATAAAGATAAGCGTGCACCTGCCACTGCAATAACCCATGGTTTCCGAGACCCCTGCCACAGCCAGACTGTCCCACGTCGGCCACCGTCGAGCCCCCACTTTATCCAATCAGATCGCCGGGAAGGACAGGCAAACCTGCCCAGGGCTCGGGGGCTCCGGGCTGCCGCTGCCAATGTCCTGGGAAGTGACAGGCATTAGGACCTGCCTGCGCGCCGGCGCCTGCTCCAGCCGCGCCCGCCACACATACCTTCACTCGCTCGGTGCACACGCCGCGCCGCGGGCAGCGCCGCCCAAGGAGGAGACGCGCCCCGGGCCCGCAGGGGCGGCAGCGGCAGGCAGGCAGCGCCGCCGCGCCCTGGGGCATCTGGCCCGCCAAGTTGCGGCCGCCGCCCGACTCGCGCTCGCCCCGCACACCCCGCGCGCGCGCGGGCTCCGGGGGCGGCTGAAACGCGCGCCGGGCGCTGCCTTGCCTCCCTGCGCGCTCGGCGGCGGCTGCTCGGGCGCTCCGCGCGCTGGCGGGCCCGGGGGGCGGGGCGGGAGCGGGGGCGGCGGGGCTGTGCGCTGCCCCGGGCTGCGGGGCGAGCGGGGCGGGTGCGGGCTCCGCGCACAGAGAGTCCTGCGGCGCCCCTCCCCACGGCCAGATGTGGGGTCCTCCTCCGATGCCCGCTGTCCCCTCGCGGGCGACAACTTCTTGGAGGTCGGAGCCCAGGCTGCAGCCTTGCCCGCTGCGGGCGTGGTGTCGCGGCGCGCAGGAGCTGCGGCGGCCGCAGCAGTGATGGTGATGGGGGTACGGGGAAGCTTCATCCGGCCCGAGAAGTCCGGGCGGCATGGCTGTGACTTGCTGGGTTGGTGTCGGTCTTGCTCAGGCAGCCCAGCCAGAAGCACTACACGTGAACAAGCTGCGTGTGTATGTGCCCGTGTCTCTGTGTGTTTGTGTGTGTGTGTGTGTGTGTGTGTGTGTGTGTGTGTCTATGTGTGCGTGTGCTTAGGGGAATAGGGTTATAGAAAGGGGTGGTGGGATAAAATTGGAGTGCAGCTCAGGCATTCTGCCCCTCTGGAAAACCCGAATGGAGCAGAAAGCCTAAAGAATTATGAAGGCAAAGTGGTCACCAACCCTTCCATGCGGGCTCAGGACCCGGGTGCCAAGGACAGGAAAGGTAAGAGCTTCAGGAATTTCCACGCTGACCCCGCTACAGGGAAAGAACTGAGTTGCTGCTTGAAGTTGGGAAAATTAGGGAACCAGAGGAAATTCATGACTTTGCTGTGGCTGCTTCAGACTGCTTTCCTCTCAACGATGGAAGGATGAGACGAAATTTGAGCACTTATCTACCCGACCTCAAGGGCCATCCTGCTGGTTATGGTCCATTCCTGGTTGGTGACACTACAGTAGAACTGATGGCAGCGTTTACCTGCAGCCACGCGCTCTGGAGCCCGCTGCTGCCACCTGCGGGCGGAAAGTTGAAGGAGGAAACATGCTGGAGCAAGTGATGCTCGCTGGGGTTCAGAAAAGGGTGTTGTGTTTGCTGCCTCATCATCTATGGAAAACATTCCTAATGTTGCTTCCGAATGAGGTTATCATGTTGAGATCCATTTACTCCAATAAAGCCATTGAAGTAAATTGCTGTAATAAGAACTGTCCACGGACCTAAAAAATACCGCCGTCTCTCACTTCCTGACTAGAGGTTTGAAACAAACAAACAAAAAAAAAAAAGGATAAAAGCTAAGCAGCAAGCTTCCTGTGGCAAGTGGGACTTGCCCTACTTAGAAACTGACATTTGTGTAGGGCAACTTTAACTTGAACATCTAATGATGACTTCTTTGAACAAACATTACATTTCAGAGTAACTAGAGATTGGATGGGTCATGGGGCTGAATTCTCGAGAAGTCAGACTAGATACTCAAAAGTGATTTGCCATCTTAGAAAGTCAAGGGGACTTGATCTTATAAAATTATTAATATTCATACTTTATATTGTAATGAGTGTCTGTTTGAATTGCCACATTTATAAACAAGCTTTCCTAATATTCTCAGAAGTGCTTCCAATGGTTAATGACATTCCAGTACCTCAGCATGTGCTGATCCTCGCCTTTTGGGGCCTTCACAATTTTTGCATAAAACTGAAACTAGGGATATCTAGTCGCATTTCATTTTTTTAAATTCTTGTCACTCCGCTTTACCCACACGTGCTGCCTGATATCTGCTTTATTGTAGATAGTTTGCATGGACAGAGTAAATAAAGGTAAAACTAAGCTAGTCCTGTCTGTTGAAGAAGCTGCTTCCATGTGGCCAAGTGCTCTATGAGCACTTTAAATTTACTGGCGTACCAGGCATTTGTATGGATTCAGCCATAACCTTGTAATAGTCTCCCTGCAGGAAGAATCAGCTTGGGAAATCCTTAGCCTATACAGGAAAGCATAATGCTGTCTTTCCCTCTTTCCCTTCCTCATTCATAATCACTGAACTATGACTTTTCAATATATGGCATTCATCTTTTTATAAGCAAAATGGACTGTTAACTAAGTATAGGAAGTGCTTGGCTAAGAAATGAAATTATTTCCTCTAGATCCATCTTTACCAAGCGATAGAGGAAAGGTGTGGATGATGACCTCAGCTTTCTGAGCACACATACAGGCTATCCCCCAAAACAGACTCGTTCACATCGTTGGCATCCCCACCGGCATCAAGTCTTGATTCTCTACAGTGGTAACCATCTCCTTTTGTCATCTTTCTGCTTCACTCCTCAGGATTCCTGGGACAACTTTCAAATAAAGCACGGGACTGAAATCTTTGTATTGGGTATCTGCCTCTAAAGAAACCCAACGTTAAAAAAAAAAAATCTTCAAGGGCTTTTATTCTTGATCTTTTATTAACCTTTAATTGATACACTATTTGAAGGAGAATAAACAACAATGTAACCAATGTTGAGTCTGTATTGTGTGCAACTAGTCTCTACCTGCTGAATCTACATCACAGGGTCACAGGGTCGCATTAATTACAGGAAACCTCGAAATTGGTACGATGCCAATTCCCAAGTGAAAGAAACTAAAATGTAAGACAGGTCAAGTCTCTCTATGAGAGGTTCCCATGTTCTCAGTGCCAGAGCTGTCAAGTCTGAACGCTCATCTTCTGTAAATAAAAATCAGTGTTCCAAAACCATTGTGCTACAGGCCCTCATTGATATTTTAATGTATTTCTCAGTCCTTCCAATTTCATCCAGTCGTGACAATAAACATATTTAAAGGGTTTTTACATATTAAGTTCCTTGTCAAGTAAGTTTCCATCGTGTCCTGTAGATACAGCATACCTCGTGTCTGACTTCTGGAAAGGTGCCCTAGTTAGGGATGCAATTCCATTCCTTAAGGTGGCTGTGCCCTTCTTGTTCCATTTCTTCTTGTCCCTGGAACTAAATGCTGTGGTGGAAGAAACATTAATCACGGCTGAGAATCATGACTGTTCCCATAGAGGGGCGTAGAGGGGAGAGATGTCTTGAACTGGAATGTCGGTTGCATTGTCATTTAGAAGGAAGGTCATAAACTATTTAGCTATGAGGTGCTGAGGGCTCCCCTTGACTAGTCCAGTGACATAACTATTGTTAATTACCTTGTTTCTGTGGGGAAATGTGCTCCACAATGCATCCCTCCATCTGGGCTCACCTTGGCATCCTGCTTTAAAGTACCTCTCAAGGTTGATTCACACCCACTTCATTTATCTTTCAAGACAACTCATGGTCTGTCCTAAGTACACAGCCTCTAAACCAGCCAGAGCTGGCTGCACACTTAGCTACAGCAAAAAAAAAAAAATCATGCCTGGTTGTGCATTCTCCACAACTGTTTTACTCCAAGTTTGCACAGTCTCTATTGTATTTTAAAAACAGATCAGCAACAATTATCCTCACAGTGACTAAAATAACATTGAATTCACTGGATGTCTCACTTCTCTGAATAATAATAGCTATTAATTAAAATAGTGTATAAAAATGTTTATAGTAAACAAAGTGAAAGTAATCACTCAGCCTTTCTACCCATAGATAATTTTTATACAAATTATTCTTTTTAGCAAAATAGGATTGTGTTAACAGGATATATTTTAGCGTGATGCTTTTTGTTGATCGTGATCATTATTATTAAGCTTATGAACTCTGAAATCAGGTTGGGTTCCTATACCAAACTCTATCATTTACCAACCAATTCTGGGCAAAAGTGCCTTAGTTTCCTTAACTATACAATGTAAAGAATAACAACGCATGCATGTCGTAGAACTGTTATAAATGTCAACATATATAAAGCTTTCAGTAAATGCTTAACACATAGTTGCTGTAAGTTTGTAAGTCATGATTCTGCCTGTCACATATCTTTATCATGGTGCACAAATGTCAAATCTCACAATTTTTTTAATTCACAAGGTTTGTGTTTCACTACAGTTTTGTTCGAGACATTAAAATAATCATTCCCTAAATGTTTCTGTGCTGTAATTATTGGAACCTGTGAATCTCCAGTAACTATGTCACACCACCAATGATATAACTGGTTTTGGCTGAACTGGTTACATAATATGACTGACTGTGTGGATTATCTTAGTGAACCCAATACCAACTGGAATCTTTAAAATCAGAGAACTTTTCTAGGCAGAAGGGGCAAAAGGCTGTGAGAAAGATGAAGGTGAAATTGATATAACCTCCAGAATGAATGCCTTAATGCTGGCAGCTTAACATACACCTATGACAGATTTTTGACACATAGACATATATATGTGCGTAAATGATTTTAAACTACCAAATCTATAATTTCTTATAACATTATTGAAAACCATTGAAATTGGTTTCTAATGCTTACATTTTACAAAAGTAAATTTTTAGGGATAATTTTTCCTGTACTATCTTTATTTCCTTATGAGTCAAGAAAAACCTTCCCTCTGAAGGCGGTCCATCAACTTAGGATTAGCTTTCTTACCTCTAACCCCTCCAGCAATGAATATTTTCCTTTAAAGTACCTGTTTCATTCTAATTTCACACCTGTTCGTAGTGAACTGTGTCCTGGAAATGAATCACATCGAGTCTCACTTTTCGTAATAATTTCTCTGCAAAGTTCAACTCGTTTC